AGGGTGATAAAGGTTAAAAAAGAGTTTTGGAAAATATTTTCCCTTCTCTTGATAGGGAAAAAAATATTTTTCAAAATATTTAAGTCAATAAAATATGAAAAAATTGGAAAACATCTCAAACACACTGTAACGACCCGATTGATCGTTTTGAGTTTTAGCGCATCGTCCGGCAGTTTGAGGCATTGAGTAACTTCACTTTAAGTATTATAAATTGTACGTGTTGCCGGATTGTATTTCGGGAAGTCTGAAGTTGATTTGGAAAGAAAATTTTAATTTCGAGAGTTTTAAGTTGGAAGAATTGATTAAGGTGTGACTTTTGAGTAAACGACCTCGGAATCGGGATTTGAAGGTTCCAATAGGTTCGTATGATGATTTTGGATTTGGGCGTATGTTCGCTGAGTATTGGATCACCCGGGATTATTTCAGCGCTTATAGTGGAAAGTTGGCATTTTAAAGGTTTTAGAATTTCTTAAGTTTGGTTTGAGGTGGAATTTGGTGTTATCGATGTCTGTTTGGAATTATGAGCTTTGGAATAGGTTCGTGTCGTGATTTATGACTGGTGCGTAAAGTTTGGCATCATTCCGGAAAGTTTAAGTGTGATTGGGACGCGTTCGGCAAAATTTAAATGTTTAAAAGTTTAAAAAAGGTTTCGATCGTCAATTCATAATTTTGATATTGTTTGACGTGGTTCGAGGCTTCGACTAAGTCCGTATCATATTTTGGGAAGTGTTGGTATGTTTGGATGGGGTCTCGGGGGTCTCGAGTGCGAATTGGATTGGAACGGATCGAGTTTGGACTTGGGAAACTGCTGAGGTACACCAGGTTTGGTGCGACCACTCCTGCGAAGGATTTGGTCGCAGGTGCGAGACCGCAAAAGCGGCCAAGAGGTCACAGAAGCGGTGCTGGAAAAACTGGGCAGTGGTCGCAGGTGCGAGAAGGATTTCCGCATCTGCCTCCGCAGCTATGGAGTTGGAGAGGTGTGGCTGGCCCCGCAAAAGCGGAAGGGATGACGCAGGCGCGGAAGCGAGAGGAGGGCCGCAGAAGCGCCCTCGCAGGTGCGAGCTTTGGGCCGCAGGTGCGGCTGGTCGGGGCCTAAGTGACTTCCGCAGGAGCAGACATTTTTCCGCAAGCGGAGCTGCTAGTGCGGCTGGGGTGCCCGCAGGTGCGAACATGCCTGGGCAGAATATATGTTGCTCAATCACGATCTTTGCTCATTTCACTCATTTCTCTCTTGGTTTGGGCGATTTTTGGAGAGCTTCAAGGGGAGACATTCATCATCTTTGGCAAGGTAAGTTATTCCCACTTATTGTAAGTTAAATATATGGATTTTATAAGGATTTAAATATGAAAATTAGTAAAAATTGTGGGAGTTTGGTAGAAAACCTAGAATTTGGTATTTTTGGATTTTGACCACAAAATTGGATATGGATTTGGGAATAAATCATATAATTGAGTTCGTATTATAGTGTGTAATGTTTATCTTCAAAATATTTCGGAACCGAGCACATGGGCCCGAGGGTTGACTTTATCGACTTTTCGAGCGGAGTTGGGAATTTGTTTAAATCGATTTATTACAAGTATTGGAGTATATTTTTATTGGTTTGCACATTTGTTTGACTAGTTTCAGATCGTTTGGCCTTACATTGAAAATTTAGAGAGGTGTTAGAGCCGGTTATGGAACTACCCCTAGGTAATATTTATTGTTGTGTGCAACTAGTTGTGGGCGCTACGTACACACGATGTGACGAGAGTCCGTAAATAGCTAAAGCATGATTATGTCCGAGTAGACTTAGGACTTTATCATATTATGTTTAAATTGTTTGGACTTATTTTTCTAGTTTAATTAATTGAAAATTTTAACTGAAATCGATTTAGAAACATATAAATATAGTAGGTCGAGATTTATCACCTTGAGTTGTTGCTAAGATATTTGATAAATGTAAAGGGGTATATTAATTATTGTGCCCATGTACTGTATTGTAAACACGTGCCTCATGATTCGGTAATTTTCTTCCTTTCTTGTTGAGCGGGTTGAACGCCTCGACAGTATAATAGATGCATCTATGGTTCATGCCACTCGACTCTCGGCAGTGTATACATTATTCTGGTTCGGGCCGAACGACCTCGGCATAATCGTGCGTTATATCGCTGGTAGTCCGAACATTCACGAGATTATCTACCTAGTTCCACTGATGCCCAGCATTTTGTATAGTATTCCTTATTCCTTTGATATTGGCGTTTGACATTTTCTAAGTTGTTACAGTAAAATATAAGACTGAAAAATTCATACTTTAAAAGAAATATTTGGAAGATTATGTAACTTACGGAATTACCCCATTATTGTTGTGTGCTTCACATCTACTTATGATTCATTATATTGCTTTATTGGACCTCTAGTAAGTGTTGATGTCGACCCCTCGTCACTACTTCTCTGGGGTTAGGCTAGATACTTACTGGGTACACGTTGATTTACGTACTCATGTTACACTTCTGCACTAAATGTGCAGGATCTGACAGGTTCATTTGGTGATCATCTTGGCGCGTAGGCGCACCTGTTGATGGGACTTTATGTGAGCTACATTCCAGGCTACGCATCGCAGTCCACCGAGTGTCTATCGTACTGTTTATTTTATCCTGTTTTATTTAAATTCTGGAGAGATGTTGTATTATTATTGTACTCCTTGGAAAATGCTCATGCACTTGTGACACCGGATTTTGAGGTTATACTAGTTAATGCTTACGGTTTCGTATATTATTATCGCCTTTCATTTCTTTCATAAACTACAAATGTTGTATGTTCCCGTGGATATAGAAATGTAAATCTCTTTCATTATTAAAATCTATGATTTCGAAAATAATAAAATGAGTAATTAAACTGATAAATTATCGTTGGCTTGCCTGACGACGGCGTTAGGCGCCATCACGACCTATAGTGAATTTTGGGTAGTGACACACACCCTAAGTAATGTGTTAAAATAAATTTTAAATTTTTGCCCTCTACCTAGAAGAGCAAAGGGATCTTTCTAATTTGATAAGTGGCAATTGCCAAGTGTTAGATGTAGATATGAGAAATTAAATTTTTTTGTAACTTAATTGTTTAGAGTAAGGTCTAGGTGGTACTATGTGTAGCATACCATAGACCGTAGGAGCCTTGTTTTGGTAATATGCTTCCCCATCTCTTGTAAGCTTAACTGCATATTTATGAAATACACCCAAGCCATGGGTGGTTCCTTTTTTAAAAAAAAAATTACATAAATATTATTAAGCAATATGTTTAAGTTATTAAATAAAATTTTAACGCAAAAATGTAAGTTTCTAAAAATAATGAATATTGATCACATTTAACTAACTCAATAAAGAAATCTTAGTTTCACATAAGTCCTCGATATCTTGTTGTGATTTGTCAAATATTAAAAAATTTAATTTTTTATCTTTTAGAGATTTAGGAATAAAGAGGTTGGCATTATAATTCATAGGAAAAAATTGATAAGTTATAATATAAAGTTTAAAAATAATTAATGTTGAGTTAATATTTTTCGGAAAAATAACATGAACACGGTTGCGTAAGTACGGATGATTTTCTCGGACGCCACCAACTCTAACTTGTGCTAGAAGTACATGTACAGAGAGACTCAATTTTATACAAATTGACGTACATACCATAGTTCAAATATTTAATTTGGAACAAAAGTGTACATCCAATGGAACTTTAAATTCTACATCAAATTCATGAGATATGTACATTCCTAATTTGTATGTCTTGT